GTCCCGGCTGTAGCGGGGCTGCGGGCTGCACACAGCGAGCGTTACCCCCTGCAGAAACAAAGAAACAAAGTTACCCTTCCAGTCCGAAGCGGATGCGCAGATTTGGTTGCTAAGCAAGGTGACGACAGAAGCTTTCACTTCAGGTTATGTGTTTGGTGGCCACTCTCGGCAGCCCAGTCCTGGCACCTCAGGAGGGAGATGTTGGAAGTTTTGCTCCGGCCTTGTCTTCTCGAAGCTTGCTCTTTGTTGGAGGTCACAAAAGTGACAACAGCTCTTTGATCATGCTATGGGCTGTAACTGCAAACTCCCTATAATAAAGTATGTCATTTGTTTTTAGCTCTTGGTGAAAGCAGTGCCAGGCACTCTTGCCATTCCCAGTGTGTTCATTCACAGGTGGAGGATTAGGAGAGACAAGACATGTTTTCAGCATCTTGCAGTTACCAGCAGGCCAGTGAACAGCTTAACCTGCATATTTGAGGCAGTTACTGGACAAGCAGGTGTTCCTGCTTGCACAGAGACGAGTAATGATCAGAAAACAAAGGCATTCCTTAGTTTGTCAGTTTTTCTAGACTGTTCAGGGCAAGTCTGCCCCATTTCAGCTTGTACTGGTCACCTCTTCTGTCCCTTGAGTGCGGGTGGTGTGGCATGTCGTTCAGCTGGACTGGGGACACGTTTCTGACCCAGGCAGTGACAGGTTCCTGTGCTTTACATGGCATGGGAAATCATTGGTAGCAATTGCTAGCTTTACTGTTGCACCATGCTCTTGCTCATAAGGAAAAAATTTTTCTCCACAAGCAGCTTGCTAACCTTATCTTCAGCTGTAGATCAAAGTTCCTGGGAAGTCTGTGAGGTAGTATATGTATCAGCAGTGAGCTGGGATAACATATTAGATGTGCAATTTTTTTCTGGCATTACATATGTAACTTGGATAAGCAGTGTCAGAATACATGTTACGCTGGAAGCACACGATGTACTGAATTCTTGAGAGTGGGGATTAGGTATAATTGTGTGGAGTGAATGTGACTGAAGTATTTCCACATCTTCATAAAGCCTATGCTTAGTGGCTTCGGCACCTTGTTCCTCCATGCGGGACATACTTTTAAATTTGAGTGCTCTTTAAACACACGTTATTGGTGCTGACCACACTCCTTCAACTGATCCACCTTCCCAGTGTGAGCGGAGCTGGGGCTCCCTTCCTGGATCTCTCTAGGCAGTTGCCTGTGAAATCCCTGTGTTCAGACAGTGGTGTTTCCATAGACTGAACTCCTGGGACTTGCTAGTAAGGAGCCGTGTGTTTCTGGCTGTCAGCTAATTGTTCTGTGAGGTTCTCTACCCACTTAGCTCCTCTAATCAGGGTGTGGTTTTCTTATGCAGGAAGTGAGTATTAATTAACTCTTACTTTGATTACTCCAGGGATCTCTTTATAGAATCTCCCGCATTGTGACCTGATGCTGTCTTGAAATATGCTTGTTCTTGTGTCTTAATTTAATTTTACAGTTCTCTGCTGCTGCAGAGGATGTTAATTTAGATACTCATGGCCTTTCTAGAACAAACCTCTGAACTGTAAAAGTCTTTGTTCACACGTCTTCAGAGTATTGCTTTGTAGGCCCATGGGAGATAATACTGATCCTCCTTTGGTGTTCCTAGTTTCCTTTTCATTATGTGGTATAGTTGAGAAAAAGAATATGGTTTAGCATTTAGGAGGAGAAATTTCATCAGGCAGTAGTGGCATCAATGGACAGGGAGTGGTAGGGAAAAGAGGTCCTGTCCTGAACACGTGGCAGACGCATGTGCCTGCCTCTGCTGCTGTGTGAGGACGTGCCCCCCACGGGCTGGCCGTGCCCCTGCACCTCGCTCTGCCTCTCACGCCAGCCGTGCTGGGTGTGTAGGGCTGCAGCAGGGAGTGGGGCGTGGACGCTGGGATCATTGCTCTGGGCAGGAGACAGCTGTGCTGACTGGCCCCCAAAACAGGTGAAGACTGACCTGTCTGCTCCCAAGTGTGTTTAGAGCTAACTATGGCCAGGGCTCTTCTGGGCCAAGGTGGCAGCTCAGATCTCCTTCCTGGATTTAGGCATTAAAGGTCTGTTTCTGATGCCTTAATCCCGACAGGTGCTGCATGGTGTGTTCCCATGCTCTGGGCATCAGTGCCTTGTGAGGATCTAGCAGCAATGGACAGGCAGATGCTTTCTGCTTCTACTGTGAATATTCCAAGTGTTACCATACTCTGCTGTGGCTGTTACTTTTTATAGGCAATAGAGGGTTCTGTGGAGGTATAAAGTAGCACAGTGAGGTATGAGAGAATTTGTGCCAGTGTTTTCTCTTTGCTTATCCTGTCTCTTTTCATGTTGGAATAGCTGAGAGGCCGCAGCCTTCTGCCTGGGAGCAGGAAGGCAAAGACAAGACTGCAGGAGGCAAGCAAACAAGTTTAATAAGTATACTTGTGATTTTAGGAAAGCAACTCTAAGGCCATCAGAATATAGGATGGTGCCTTTTCCTGTTAGTACAAGAGCTTTGTTTATAAGCTCTGAGATTTTGATTATTGCAGATCATAAGTTGATTTAACTACAGGGCACCTGAGGCCAGAAGTTTGTTCCCAAATTCAGCCATACTGACAATGCTGAATATTGAATGAAATGCAAATTTGGAAAAAGATGTGACGTGGAGGAACGTTATGCCAGCAACCGCAGGGGAGAGGAATCTAGGACAATGTGAAATGATGTCTGATTTGTCCCTGGTACTTGGGCAAGGGCAGGGGGAAGGGGTTAGTAGTGGCTTGGGGAAGAGGAACGCTGTTTAACAAAGCACACACATCTGCCCTGCATAAATAAGTTTCTGTTTCAGTTCTGTGTCAGACAGATGGACCGAGTCATCCAGGCAGTAGCATAGTCCGTCTGTATTATTTCAGGCTTCAAAATGTCCTCTCAGATAAAAGTAAACCATGCTTTTTTCCTTTTTTTTTTTTTTTCCAACAGGAAAGAGACTGCAGGAATGGATCTCTGTCATCTTATGCTTCTCTCTGATCTGTTTCAATTTTTACAATCTTCTCTTCTACTTGCGACTGGAACACATGCCCTCTGTTATTGTGGGGATATGTAAGTAGGAACTGCTCGCTGCTGTGAACAAGGCAAGGCTGTTGTAGTGCTGGGAACAAATGTGTGATCTTTTAGGCTCGACTTACTATTGGAAAGGGAGAGGGACGTTTCTACATGGGCAGTTGTGGTGCCTCTGAAACTGAGGCCATCTGCAAGAAAAGGTTACTGCTTTATCTTTGATTTCAGCAGCTTCTTGGTATCTCAAAGGTGAAGTTTTTAACGTGGCTGTTTAAGTTCGGTGTTCTTATGTAGTCATTGCAAATGAAACTAGCTGCTGAGACCATCAATGATTGACAAAATTACTTACAAAAGCTTTTCGGAAAGCAAAAACCTGCAAGAAATCCTATAAAAGGTGTTCCAGATATCAAACTGGCTTGACTGCTGGGGACTGATAATTAAAACCAAGTATTTTGGGGGATTATGCTTTCATGACATGATGTGAAGTTTGGCCTTTATCCTGAATGATGACTTTTTCCAGCAATATAAGGAAAAGTTGCAGCTTTCTTGTGGTAATAAATGTGACTCTTGGTCTTTTATTCACTTGATTGGGAGCATGGTCAGCAGGCTCAGTAGTCTTGTCTTTGCCTCAGGTGTGTAGAGGTGTTTAGGTTGGCTGGGTCTGGTCAGTACAAAGCTAGCTCGTCTAGATGCAGTGAGAGTTGGTGATTTCACCTTTTTGGTGAAAGAGAGGAAGAACTAGTAAAGGTTTCTAATCTGATACTGTGCAACTTGACTGATAGAATTGGGAATTGCATGGAACTAGCTAAAGGGAAAATTTGTCTGATGACAAGCTGGGTGTGAAAAGGGACTCCAAAACATTCATAAAATCATTCAAAGCCTAAACCTGTTTACAACTTGGTAACACTCAGAGCAAAAAGTATCAGTGTTCACATGAGCTTTGTGTCATTAGAATAGTACTGAAACAGTTGGACAGAAACTGTCATGGGCAGCCAGAAGAGAGGGCAGTGGGGCCAGCTGGGCTGAAGCAGGTCATAGTCATCTGTGGCTGACTCAATTTATTGGCATTATCTGGGCAGCAAATATTACTGGTAGCTGTACAGTCATGTACGTATGGGAGGGGACATGGGAAAAGGAGGGGATTAAATTCAGAAATCAGAAGAGCCAACTCTGCAATGCTTACCTTTCATATGTTTCTGATAAACATCTGATATGGGATGAGGGAGGGAAGAGAATAGTAACTGTTTCACCAGTCTTCTACCACACCTGCAATGCGTATGGAGTACAATATTAACTTATTGTCTTGGGTGTGTATAAATATTTATGTATTTTTATACTAATTGCTATGATAGCTGAAAGGAAAATGAATGGTGTCATTCATTAGGATGCTATATGGTTTATTAGGATAGCTACAAGAGTTCAGCTTCTGTGCTTCATGGTAAAAGTAACTTTTCTACTAAGTGGGAGAAGTGGTGTATATTTTAGAACAGAATGGTACTTGTATACTGCTAATGATTAAAAAGTAAATAAATCCCAAACCAACAAACAACACACAACAGCAGATTCAAACAGTCTTATATGATAGATGCTGTGAATTTTTGTCAAAGCTGGAAGTGCTGATGCCCGATGTCTGTTCAATGGTTATTGCCTTTGTGTTGAGGCTAAGGGAGAGCTGTGCCCTCCCACTATGAATCATACCAGCTCACTTGGCCAGATTTGGTCTTGCCTACTCTCAGCTGTTGAGGTGGAGGTGCTGGGAGGAATGGAGAAGAGTGTGGCATGAGAACTGCTCCATAATGATGAGGACAGACATGGCCAAGGGGATCAGTGATGATGGTTAACCCGTAGTACGATCTGTTTGCAACCGGCTTTCATCTCAGAGATAATATTGATAAAAGCTAGAGTTCTCTGATATCCTGGTTACCAGTTTAACTGATAAACAGCCAATTCACTGATAATATTATTTATGCAGTAGTGAATGATTACAGTAGCAGAATCTGGATTCTGTGTAAATAAAGTAGTGTAGAAAGAACTGATAGCGTGTGCAAAAATGAGCGCAATAAAAAGTGCTGCACGCTGTCTTGTTTCGCTCTCTTCCTTTAGAACATTATTTTTCCAGGTAAAGTCTGAAGGATGTCTATAATTTGCAGTGATGATTAGGTTTTTATTAAGTTTTGTGGCACTTCTCTCCATAAGTGTCTGAATTCCTAAATACTGCACCTAACACAGTGGGTAAAATAGTCACTACTGAGTCAGAGGCATCATCAGGTGCATTCCCATTGAGAGCTTTCACGAAGCTCCATTTAAAATACTGAGCTTTGAGTTGAGATCACAAAAGAAACATTCTGCTAATAAAGACACAGCTCTAGATCAAGTTCACATCAGGTCTTTGGAAATCTGGAGGTGATCAGTGATCCAGTGGGCTGCATATGATCGGCTGCACAGACCTGTTCATTAAGGTGTGTGGTTGGGACCCTCAACCAACGTGTGGACTCTTATGTTAATATATATTTTCTTTTAAGAAATAGGGAGTAGTTTCAACCTTGTGCATAATTTCACCTAGCTTCAACCGTCTCCCTATAAGTAGAGGCTGTGGTATATCTTTTTTTTTTTCATGCTTTTAGAGCACACAGTTGTAACACGGGTAGTACTGTAAGTATCTTAATCTAGAAATTCCTGGGATGAGAAAGATCCGATCCTCCTCTTGCTGGCAGTCCAAAAGCACTTACTTCCTTGTGTGATGTGAGCAGGCAGTCTGCTGAGAAGTGAACTCACGTGGCATGCTGTCATTTGCTGTGCTGAATCACCCACGGGTCCTTGTGCTGTGGAGTGAGGGAAGAACTGTCAGGCCAGAACTTTATGGCTCTGTTTCAGAACAGCTTTGAACTGGGTTGCTCTCTTGGCTAGAGATGATCTGCCTGGAAAGGAAGAAGCGTGAGTCCCTTGTCTTCCAGGCTGGTTTAGCAGAGACAATTCCCTTCCCCTACTGACTGTCCAAAAAAAAAAAGTGGGCAGAGGATGGATTTGTTTTGTTGTTGTTTCTGTGTTAAATCCAGTCGTGCCTTATTCTGAATATTATCAGCTGCTGAGGAGCTATGAAAATTTTCCTCTTTGTGCAAGCTGACAGTTATGCAGATTTGGATCTGAAAAATGCATTTGCACACACATGGTTAAGTCCAGGGCAGCCTTGGTTAGGAAGGTTGGGTGTGATGGAGGTTTAATACCCCCGTTCTTTCAGTTGCAGCAGGACACCATCCAGCTATCTTGCAGAACCAGAGTGGCCTCTGCTGCTCTGACAGAAGCTCAGTAGTGCTGGGGACAAGGCTGGCATAGGTATTACTTGTGTGATAAGCAGAAAAGCCTCAGCAAACCAGGTAAGGTTAGGCTTGAAAGCCTTCAGGTGAGTTTGTGGTATCTAGTACATTATTCAAAATACAGGAGTGTTATATAGAGGTGGTATATTTAATAGCATCTAGATAAAAAATTTGGCAAGTTATACCATGGGTTCTGGTTTTCATTTTTCACTCCCTCCTTATGGCTTTGTATAGGTCTTTAAAGTCTTTTTTTTTCCAAATGGGTTTTCTTGTTTCTGACATTCATCTGTACTGACATTTGTTCTTCACAGTATGTTTGTGTTGTAACCTGTCTATATTCATAACTACTGCCTCACGTAGGGCAGGTACCTTCAGAAACGGGTTGTGACACAGAGCAAGACAGAATGAATCATTGCTGACTTGAGAGACAGGGAGCTACTTTTTGTAAACCCATTTGAGGTACATATTTCATTATTGCAGAAGTTGTGGTTTCTCCAGAGAGAGCATGCAGAAAGGAATCACTTAGGTCACTTTCAAAATAGAAACTCATTCGGACCAAGCTCTGCAGAGCTGCTCTGGCTCAGCTGCATTGCAGAGCCAGCTGAAGAGTGTGCAATACGTGTGGAGGCTCTGGCACACGCTGGAGTAAAAGCATTCGAGAGGCCATCAGTGCTTTATGAAGTGGACTGCTTTGGGTCAGCTGCTGCAAAGTCCTGCTGCCTCACACTGAGAGACAGAACTGTAACAGTGTCACTTAACTTCGGATTTACCTTGTATGTTAAAATGACTTTCTGCTTAAAATTTTGATTTAAAAAGTCCTTGAAGTTACACCAGGGAAACCTCAGTTAACAGGGGAATGTTATACTTCATTGCTGGTCTGGATAAGCCAAACTTTGTCACCTGCTGTCTTGCCCCACATGAAGTAACATCAGTTCTTCATAGCTGTAGGTAACTTTGGTTATTCTATACGTGTATTATATATCTTCAAGCTGGAGACTCCACAAGTTGTGGTTAAACGGGCAAAACTTTGATTCCGTGTTTTGTTAAACTTTGTATTGCACAAATCAAATTGCACTGCACTAACACGGTCCGTGTTATATCTTCCTTATCTGTTCTCTCTGTAACCTGGATTAGGGGATGAACTTCTCAGGCGTGCCAGCAGCTGTTCCTGGGCAGGAAGGATGAAGTCGGTGGCCTGACGGGGAGAGATGAGCCTCCCTCCCTGGTGGGGAGGGGAGCTGTGACACAGCCCTGTGCACAGCCGGCGGGCTGTGGCAGCAGGGACAGGACAAAGACAGCACTGTGTGCTTGCTGGGTTGTCAAGGCGCTCTTAAAGTTGCAGGGGATGCCAGGGCAATGTTCAGGTTGTACAAAACTGCCCTGTGCTCCTGGGAGCTGAGCTGACACTGCTTTGACTCCTGGGAACACTTTAAATGGATGAAACCGGAGGATTAGTTTCATTAGTCATACTAATGAAAGTATCGGATTTTTTTTTTAGTGAGGGAAAATTTGCTCTTGATTTTCATTTAATATCCATTATTCTCTGTTCTTTTAATCACTTTCTTCTGGGATGGCTTAATTGCTTTTTCTAGTAATGCATTTTCAGAGAAGAGAAGTGCACACCATGGTACTTTTTGTTTAAGAACTTATGGCCTAGGTGAAGTTGTCAGAATTCTTCAGCTGAAGACCTATTAGGAATAGCTTGCTTTGTGCTGATAGGATAAAGAT